TCTGTGGGAGGAGCCTGCAGCATTCTGCTGGCAGTGGATTCACAACACAGAACAGAGTAAATAGAGCCCTATAAGATCTGTTTTATTTTTTTCAAATATTGTTTTATCCGTTTTTATTTTTCTAAATTCCACTTTTTCCCCTAAACTCCACATTTTCATTGTAACCTTATTTATTAAACTAAAAAGTGCGTAATTAAAAAAATGACTGAACAATAATTAAACAAATAAATAGCCACAGAAATAAAAAAGTCTGTTATTTTACTTTCACTAATCTAACAAATAGCTGTGGTTCAGTAGAACATTAAATTTTTTTTGAAAGGTGTTTTAAAGTATTTACTAAGAAAAAAAACTGTGTAAAACAGAAGTTATCTTTTGTAAAATAAAAATGTTTTAGAACTGAACTTAACATTAAATATGTCATAAAGAAACATAAAACCTACAAACAGCAACTGAATAGGATCTAAGCTCGTTTACTTAATGTAAGTTGATGAACACACGCACTGTTGACGGTGCTTTATGAAAAAATGAACAAAGCTTTTTCATTTTTACTAAAGGAATATCTGATTCTGCACACAACAACAAACTCTTGGARAACCTCCCACCCAGACTAGGAGTTTTCAGCGAGTCTCTGACCTGCTCCTCTGTCTGTGACTCAGACAGGAAGTGGTCTTCACAGCATCCAGCCTGTCATGTGCTGAAAACTGGCAGAAAAGTTCTTCTACAGATAAATAAATAACCGCTGGGGTTTTGTTCTCTCCTAAACTTTACAATAGCTTCATATTTTTGGAGGATGTTGCTTTTAGTCAGTTTGTTGTTCGCCGCGCGAGTCGTGGTCGCAGCTTTTTTTTCCTCCCCCTCCTCCTTTGTCAGGAGGGCAGCTCAGAGCTCACTCTGCATGCCTGTTACCAGGTAAGGGCAGGTAAAGGGAGCAGCAGCGGTCAAAATACCTCAGAAACTCGCCCAAATAAGAGACCTCTGTGAGATTCTGCATTTTACACTGGATTCCATGACTGGATTCTGTCCGCGTTTCTCGCATCACGGAAATTATACGGTCCGATGTAAACTGATCGATCATTATGTTTTTATGATCGCTGAAAACCCAAATCGTAATCAAGATCAAAATCTGATTCTTCGCCCAGCCCTATCAGCTAAAACCATCTGTTATCTTCTAACATCAGTCAGCTAATCCTCTGTGGTGTTCTGGTGTTTCTCTAAACCTTCTGTCAGGAGTTTTTCCTCTCACTGATCCAGCTTGTTGTGTTTTTGTTCGGTCAGAGTCGGTCCAGGACATCCAGGCAGCTCTGACACAGTTGGAGTCCTGCACCAGGCTGCTGTTTCCTGACTTTGCTCCATCAGATTTTCACACAGCCGGCAGCAGCAACTCCACTGTCAGTCCACCAGAGGGAGAGGAGCCCTGCTGCAGCAAGACCATCCAGGACAACAGAGACCTGCAGGAGAACAGAGACCTGCAGGAGAACAGAGACCTGCAGGAGAACAGAGACCTGCAGGAGAACAGGACAGGAGGGATGGAGGACCAGGATGAAAGCTCTGAGCAGCAGGGAGAAAAAGTAAAGGAGGCTGATGATGAGGAGGAGGAGGAGGAGAGTGAAGAGGACAGCAGCAGTGAGGAGGTTGATGAAGACTCGTTTATCAGGAACTCTGGGCTCATCTCTCACTCCTACAGTCTGGATGTGAGCCTCAGTCCTGGTGGGTACAGGTTTGTGTTAGATCAGAAGAGCTTTTTAAAACAACACACCTGATGTTCTGGTGTCAGTGGAACAACCTTCTGCTCCTTCAGCTTTTAAAGTTTTACTAGAATCTTACATTCACTTAAACTCAGGTACTGTGTTGAACTGAGCTAACACAGCAGGCTAATGGAAGCTAATGCTAATGATGGAGTTTTTATTATTTATCATGGTTTTATTGTAACTGAGTTGATTTTACCTCCATCACCGTCTTCAGAAAACAAATGCTGTTGATTTGTGGCGCTCTAGTTGGACCTGACTTGGTTCTGCTCATGGGTTTCTGTCTGTTTCCTGCCTCAGTTCTAACCGTGAAGGAGACGGAGGATAACGAGGCAGTGGTTTCCACCATGGTGGAGCTGCGCAGACTGCTGACATCCAAACACCTCCCTGTGGTGCAGAACTGGGTTCAGGTGAGTTCACTACAGGTGACATCATCTCAGCACCTGTGCAGACTCACTTCCACATCAGCAGACGGTTTGCTTCAGTACCTGGTTGTCCTCGGTCCAATCAGAAGTCCCAGTCTGAAGTGTCTTTATGAAGAGCAGGGAGCTTTGTTTACTGTCACTGATTCACATGTTCCTGCAGGACCTTTCAGACATGAACCAAGTGTAGTTGGTGTTTATCAGCAAGAAAAGTCACATTTTTAACAACAAAGAATTAAACTAAACACAAAAAAACCCTTGAATAAAAAAGCTATGAGATCAAAATCATATAAAATATTTTTCTTCACTGACAGGTTTTGTGTTTCTGCCGGTCTGTGCCCCACCCCCGCAGGTCTTCACCAGGTCCCACGCAGAACCTCAGCTGTTGAGACGAGCTCTGGATCTGAAGAAGTCTTTGGAAGCTGCGCTGAACAAACACAAAGAGCTTCACATCGACTGCAGGACCAGAGGCCGCAGAGTGGTAGGCCCCACATGTTTTACTGTCAGACTCACCTGTGTTCAGGCCAGAGGCACACCTGCTCTGCTCCTGGTCAGTCCTCAGGTGTGCTTTGGAAACAGCTCAGAAACAGTTTTATAAAGAGAAACTCAGACAGCACATTTTGTCCCTGTCTTCATGTCACTGGAACTGTCAGGTTTACCAGTGAGCAGACAGTCATTCCTGTCTGAGTACATTAGTCTGGCAGTGAGAAGCTTCACCCACATGAACTGGTCCATCAGTCAGTGAGACCGATGAACAGCAGGTGTCAGTGTTCTACCACACATCTCAGCTGAAACTCTGCTTCATCGCTGCAGACATGTAGAAACTGAGTTTATTTTTCACATTTTAAATCATCTTGATATATAGAGGTTATTTTTCTATTTATTGTGGAGTTTTTTGTATTTAGATTAGAATCCTCCTCCTTGTCCAACTCTGACCCACAGAGCCTTTGTATTTTGACGCTCCTGAATCATCTCCCAAAACGATTTATAATCACTAAGCAACAATGTACCAAGACATTTTTAAAAGAAATATATTTATAATGGAAATAATCAGTTTTGTTTACAGAAGTAAATTTACACAGTGCAAAATAATATTATATATTTAACAATTTTTAGGTTTCTGTTAGACAAACCTGGATTTGATTGAACAAATAACGAAAGCTGTTGATCAAAAACAGTATTGTGTTAGTGTTTTTGTTGATTTAAAGAAAGATTTTGATACTGTTGATCAAAGCATTCTTCTAGAGCAGTGGTTCCCAAACTTTTTATCTTCTGATCCACAAAATATCCACGGCTAAAACTTGTGACCCCAAATATTACTGGTCTGAGTACACAAACTTTGTTAATAACCCTAAAAACACAGGCTTTTTGACAACCTAAACAGCTTTTACACAAACATAAATACTTATTTATAGTTATTTTGTGTTTTTGTAATATTTATAGGGAAAATATTACATCAGCAATTATTTTATTACCCTTTAAATWMATTTCTGGAGATTATCCAAGGTGCTTCATGACCCAAAATTGGGTCCCAAGCCCAACTTTGGGAACCAAAGTGCACTGGTTCCCAAACTTTTCAGCTTTTGACCGACAAAATTGTACAAAATAACAGCAGAGACCTGTGCCCCTAGCTATTTTTGGATGGTAAAAATTTGGATCAGGTCAACCAAACATGGGCATAGTAACAATATTTTTATACTACATTTATCTATTTTAAATATACTAACCTCACTCCTTGTAACAACTAAGGCAAAACTGTAATTAATTCAGAAAATCTTGTCAGGACCCCACCTTGATGTTTCGGGACCGACCCCAACTTTGGGAGATACTGTGTACAGGTATGGTATGAGAGGTCCAATACTACAGTGGGTATCTAGTTATCTGACAAACAGGAAGCAATTTGTTCAAATAAATGAAGTAAGATCTAAATTTGGTGATATTACATGTGGAGTTCCACAAGGTTCTGTGCTTGGACCAAAGTTGTTTCTCTCATATGTAAATGATCTGTTTAATGTGTCAGGGTTGTTTAAATGTGTCTTGTTCGCAGATGATACCACATTTTTTTGTTTGGGCAAAGATGTAGAACAAATGTTCAGGATGATTCAGACAGAATTTGTAAAAATACAAACTTTGTTTAAGCTTAAAAAATTATCACTAAATTTGGACAAAACAAATTACATGATAATCAGTAATAGAAAAAGAACGGTCGATGTTTCATTTAAAGTTGATGGTGCGGAGATCTGTAAAGTTAGTGAAGTAAAGTTTTTGGGTGTTATTATTGATGAAAACCTGACCTGGAAACCTCATATAAATTACTTAAGAACAAAAATAAAAATAATACTCTGTGTTATTAACTCTTAGCAACTCTTTCCTGTCTGCTCTAGTAAACAGCTGGCAAATCATAAATGCATATCAAACTCGTTTTCACTGAGGGCCACAGGAACATTATGGTGGCCCTCAAGGGCCCAGTTCTAGCTAACGTCAACATTTCATGTTTAACTTTGACTAAACATGAAACATCAGTTTCCTGAGCACCTCTAACAAACACTAACTGAGTTCTAACTGGTATTTCCTGCATAGAAGCAGTGTTTCACGCGTCCTCTTATAAACAAACGTGTTCGGCTACATGTGAAATAAATAAAACAAAGAGTTTTACTCACTGATGAGTTGTGGTGAGTAGCTGCTGTCTTGAATTGTGAACTCTCCCACTTCCCAACACTTCCCAGTACAAATGGGCCGCAGCAAAGTTTTCCTTTGAAAATTTATCAAAATGGAGATTTGACACTGTGAATTTCAGCAACTACTTTAGAAATGTGGAGGTTCTATAGAACAGAGTGACTTTTGACTACATGAGTGGGATCTACTGTAGAAACAGAACAACAGCCTGGATTTACCATTACTGAGGTAAACAAAGGATAGATGATGTAGAAATCATAAAACCTATTAATTTTAGCAGAATTATTATAACTATATTAGAGTGTATATAATCTATCTAAAGTATATAAAATGTCAGAAAGCTGTGAGTTATAGATTTACCAACAGAAGAGAAACAGATTTGATTTTATTTACCTCATTGTGGATGTGATCTGAGCAGAACTGAAGTTAATAATGTAAGAATTTAAATTAAATAATCTTATAAAGCTGATGTAATCACTGCTAATTATTGAACTGGTTAGCAGATGTTAACTTTTGTTGCATTTACTGTTATACAGAGTGAAGCTCTGCTGAATCATGCTACAATTTAACACAAATTATTAAATATTACAGCTGTTTTTACCTCTGATTTATGTAATATTTACACAGTGTTAAATAATATTATATATTTAACTATTTTTAAGTTTCTGTTAGACAAACCGGGCCTGTTGAGAAGATGGTTAGCTAATATCAGAGTAGAGACAAGTTTCATCCTATAACAAGGTATACAGAGAATATTTTTGTCTTGTAAATATTTATTACCATTATTTACGAGAATAAAAAATAATTATATACTGTATATTTTATTGCTCGTTGAAATCATCATTTTTCAACTAGCTAAAAAGTCTAAGTTATTGACTGACTTCCGGTCTGGTTTAGATCATTACCTCCGCCAAGCGGGCAAGGTAATGTTTTCGGTCGCATATGTTGGGCTGTCGTTCTGTTGATAGACAAAATTACTCAAACTTATGGACGGATTGTAATGACATTTTTACCACATGTGGATACTGGCCCAATGAACACACCATTAAATTTTGGTGGTGATCCGGATTACGTTGCGGAAACAGGAATTTTTATGTCTTTAAACCCTCTTAGTTCAGCAAAGCTGTGATGCTTTCACAGGGCTTCTGTAAAAAAGCAGTGAGAGCTTTCAGTGTTCGTTTGAACTGGATTCAAACTTCATAAAAATAATGTTTTTATATAGTTTTATTTTTGTTTACTTCCAAATAAACCAGATTAACGATTAATTTTTGCCATAATGTGCGCATTTTTACGCATTTGGTACGCATTTAAAGAACGTTGTGTGACTAGGAAGTGTGTGACTGCACCATGAAACCTATTTTTCCCATTTCCTCAAACACACCACATTTCCCAAACAACCAATCAAAACACTCTGTCAGTCATAAAGACAGTCAAACCATTACAAACTCATAAAAGGGGATAAAACAGACGTTTTACACTGTGAAATGTGACTGTTGAAAACAGGAGCTTTAATCCGAGACCAGTTTGACCATGAATAACGTCGGGTGACGAGTCTGACTTTATTTATTCACATTGAACTCCCATCGGGAAGAAATCCCGTGCATACTGCTGCTTAAATGTTCACTACATAAGAACTTATTCAGCAAATGTGTTTCCATCTCTGCTTTTGTGCATTAACTCTTACAGGATGGAGGAAATTGGACTTGGCGGAGGTTTGCACTCTCCGAGTGCTTCTAGTTGTTACAGGTTTACAGATTTTTTAAAATTCATTCATTAAAAAGACAAAAAAAGGACAAAACCTATATTCAATAAAAATATAACTATTTATAAATGAAAGGAACCAGAGGGAAGAAAAAATCTATAACATCAGCCTGTTTTTCTATAATAAATTATATATATTTTTTCTGGTATAAATGTGCTGTTTTTCATGGTTGTTGAGTTAAATCAACATAATTAACAGTTTTATTTGAATTTGTTGTAAAAAATATTACAGATAATTTTTCACCCAGCCAGATGGAAGTCATGTGTCAAACTTAAGGTTTGCGGGCCTTACAAGCCTTAAGGTATTTTCACACCCACCATGTGGAAATGCTCCATATAAGTCTGAGTTTACCTGGAGCTCCTCAGACTGAAGACTCGTGGAGGAGAGAGAAACAAACTTGACTTTTCTGAATGTTGGCTTTGTTTGAGTTCAATTTAATCCTTGTTTAAGATCAATACTGAACCAGAAGTTACAGATCCTGAGAAGATGTGGTCTTGTTTCAGTTAGATGTTGGGCCTGTTGCAGCATGTCGGTTTGTTACTGATGTGTTGTGTAGAGTTTTACACTCCTGTGCATGCCTGCAGTTTAGAGGCATGAAACAGAAAAAGCCAGTGGTGGATTGCAGAGCTGGTAGGATGCAGTATGAAGGTTGTGTTGTGGCTTCATGTTTAGCTGAGCGGAGCTGCAGAGTGACAGTGACAGAGCGGCAGGCGCCTCGCTCTGCCTGGTTATCACTGTCACGGAGCAGACTGCTGCAGCAGCAGGCCCAGCTCTCAGATAACCACACAACTTACAGCCCCTTTATCATAATTAACTTTTCCTTTTTAGCCCTAAAAGGCCTTCCATTACAGGGTCCTTCTCTATCGGCCCACTGACACTCCACACGATTGCTTTTGCTCTCCATAGGCCTCTCACTATAGTTCTGCGTAACTGGGGGGTGGAGAGATGGAGGCTGATAAGGCGGGGTGTTTATTTGATTGGACAATAAAAGATGGGAATGCATCAAGAAGAATCAGACAGATGCTCTCAGGTCTGACTGTACAGCTGTTAATAACAGGAACTTTCATATAGGATAGACTTCAAGTTAAGAATTCTGATTTTATTAGGTGTTTTGAAATTACACTTTTTGTACTTAAACTTCATGACAACCTCAGACACATCTTGATGTAATGTTTAAACTTTACGTTCTGTTTTTTCTCTTTGGTTCAATTCAAATACTGTACTTCAAAACATATTATCAGTCCGGCAATAGGACAAAATTATGTTGTGTTTACTGATTATAACAGAACTTTCAGCAAAGCTAAAACACTAATAAAAAAAAGACTTGCTATGTTCAGCACCCCCTCCCTCAGCTTTGAGCTGGTTCAGTCCAACCTCAGTTACATCTTATTTATTTATGTATTTACTGACTGGCAACTCAGAGTTCAGTTGTAGAGGTGAGAAGAAAAGAATCAGTGAGTTTTTGAGCTTTAATTCTGACTATGGATCAGACAGAACAGAGTAAGAACATTCAGATCACTATTTAGGAGCACAAGATACACATGGATTTCTAAAAAGCGCGATACTACACCTATTAACCTGAAGCTGGACTGAATATGACCTACTAATAAAAAATGGATGGTTGGTTGGTTGGAAGATTGGTTTGATGGATGGATGGTTGGTTGGTTGGTTGGTTGGAAGGTTGGTTTGATGGATGGATGAATGGTTGGTTGGTTGGTTGGATGGTTAATTGATTGGATGGATGGATGGTTGATTGGTTTGAAATTTGGTTGTATGGTTTGTTGGTTGGTTGGTTTGATGGATGTTGGATGGTTGATTTGACGGATGGCATGTTGATTGGTTGGTTGGAAGTTTGGTTTGATGGATGGATGCTTGGTTGTTTGGTTGGATGGATGCTTGGTTGGTTTAATGGATTGATGTTAGGTTGTATGTTTGGTTGATTGTTTGGTTGGTTGGTTTGATAGTTGTATGGTTGGTTAGTTTGATGGTTAGTTTGATGGTTAGTTAGTTTGTTGGTTGATTGGTTGGTTGGTTTGATGAATGGTTGGTTGGATGTTTGGTTGGTTTGATAGTTGGATGGTTGGTTAGTTTGATGGTTGGTTGGTTAGTTTGTTGATTGGTTTGATGGATTGTTGGCTGGATGTTTGGTTGATTGGTTAGTTTGATGGATGGTTGATTGGATAAATCTTAGGTTGGATGTTTGGTTGGTTGGTTGGTTGGATGGATGTATGGTTGGTTGGTTGGTTGGTTGGTTGGTTGGTTGGTTGGTTGGTTGGTTGGTTAGTTTGATGGATGGATGGTTGGTTGGTTTGATGGATGGATGGATGGTTGGTTGGTTTGATGAATGGATGGATGGATGGTTGGTTGGTTGGTTGGTTGGTTGGTTTGATGGATGGATGGTTGGTTGGTTTGATGGATGGATGGA